GTGGTCCTTCTATGTCTGACTTTGAACTAGGCCCTAATCCCTGTAAGTGTCTCCTTCCCCATTCCTAGTGCAGGATTAAGTTAGCTGTCACAAAAAATTCAGAGGAAATAGATGTATCTTGCACAGAATTTTGCATGTAGAAAAAATACCTGCTATTTGAATCTAAAGGCAAAAAAGATTTAAATCAGCTATAGCCAAAAGAAGAGCACTGGTAAGAAAGAATTATGAGCTCCAAACACTGTTCCCAGTGATTAAATGTTCCTACCAAATTACTCCAGCCAAGGACATCAAAGACAATTTATAATCCTGTCTCTGAAAACCAAGTGATTTCATCAGAGGTTTTAAAAATTTGTGGCTGAAAGGAGAAGCTCCCACCCCTTGAAGACCTCCACTGGTGCTGGGCTTTCTAAAGCAGTCCAGGAAACGTTCACTCTGGGATCTGGTCTTTTGCGTACAGGAGAAAGCTGCTGTGGGTGATGAGACACTCTTCTGCAAAGAGATAATTTGAGCAGAATCTCAAATACGTAGAGTTATCTGTATTCAAATACAAATGTTGCAGCTCTTCAAGGCATGGTTGAAACAAATGGAAATTCCCCTAAAGCTCTGTTATTGCTCATCTTTTCCACTAGGCTAGAAACTCCATAGGAGCAAGGACCTGGTCTGTCTTGTACATGTGCCTAGATTGGTGCCATGCAGAGTGGACACTCAGTGAATGCTTTTTGAATGAATGAAGGGAGCCCAGACCCATCAGAAATGGAGTGATAGCTCCTTTTGGTTTCCACACATCGCACATGGGCATCAGCTGACCTTTGTGGCTGGAAGTGGAATAGCTGGGTGGAACTTGCTATTATAAGCAACTACTCAGTTAAGTGCCATCTCAAGGAGCACTTTGAATTGATCTTCCTGGAACTCCAGCATTAAGAACACACATTAGCCCTGACCTGACTTAACCCCTTAGTTCCAGTGGCTCCACACATTCTTGAGGTTATCTTTCAGATAAACTGAATAATGGCAATGGTCTTGAACGAATGAGTAATGCAACAAGTGACAAAGCTCTTAAAAGAAAGTTTGAGGCTGTCCCCTTCACATTCTCTTGGGCTTCTCCAGCCTCTGTTCATTGCACACGGTGGGTGGGGTTGGTGGGGAAGGGTTAGTATAAAGTAAATATCAGTTGTTCTAGTTTTCCTTTGCTCCTACCCCTCTCACTTTATTTTTTGAGAGAAAGAATGAAAAGGCTAAGACTGGAAAGATGGTGGCAGGTTTCTAATGAAATCAAAATTCTTTTCTTTTTTCTTTTTTTTTTAAGAAAACGATAATGCTAAAATGATAAGGCAAGCCAGTAGGGGGTGTTAAAGATAAAATTACCAGAAGTCAATTGAAATGTAATTATAGGTGATTATTGCATGTTCTCTGTGTCCCTTGTAAGCGAATTGACCTTTAAAAATGAAATTGCTCTTGATTGTTTTTTTAAAATCTCATTTTCTGTGCTTCTGAGATTGTTTCCAACTGTTATGTGTATATTTTTAAAATCTCCAAATACAGTGTTATAAATAATACTTGTTATAAATAATTTCTTGGGTTATTAACTTTCCTTTATATTTTTAAAATATTCATATTGTATATATCACCACGAATAAACAAATCATGACATTGCCATAAAACGGAATATTATGCAGAATGGAAATAGTATTTTTAAAGGAAAATTTTAAGATATATAATGATGTCCATTATATAGCCTTAGGTTAAAAAAATAGGATATAAAATTGCATATAGAGAATGTTCTTCATTTGTGTTTTTTTTTATGTTTATAAAATAATGATTGTGGGAGTGTGATTACAGATGGGTTTTATTTTCTTCATTATATCATATAACTATTTCTCTGTAGTTTCCAAACTGTATTCAATAAATGTCACTCTTAGAATCAGATAAAAAATGTGTTAAAACGCTCAGATATCTTTCAATCCAATTTAATTTGTCTTTAAAGTATATTTTGAGGTAGGCAGGGGTAGATATAATTTTTCGACTTTAAAGTGGATATACTGAGCCATCAGGAAATGCCCTGCCTCAAATCACATAATTCATGGTGAAGAACTGGAATCAGAAAGAGAAACCAGCCTCTTGGATTTGTATGAGCCCAATGCAGAGGGCACAGGGCTGGTCCCTTCTTGGAGCCTCGCGGTGGCTGGCTCTCAGGGACTGCCTTCCTGCCACACTGGTTGCACCTGGAGGAGCCCCAGAGGCTGAGCTGAGGGTCCCCTTCCCAAGTCAGCTGTCTCCAGCCTTTTGCCAGGGGAAGGGAAGAATCCTGAAATGTATCTCTGGATTATCACAATTTCTGAATAACTGGATCTATTTGGTTGAGATCCTTTCAGATACAAATGCTGTTGTCAGCGAAGGCCAACATTGCCGTGTTTCTAAATTGCTGGAAGCCTAACTTCGGAATCACCATGCTCTTCTCTCCTTGATCATCTCTAAAGAGTAAGGACTGTGTCTATTCCTTTCCATAGACTCCCCGGCAAATCCGCAATACAGAGACACTACACATTCTCAATACTCATTAACTCACTAACCATCAGCCTTAGAACATTGTACCTTGAGGGCACTAGTTCACATGCAGAACTTGGCGGACAGTAGATGCAGTAGGCAATGTTTTATTGTCATGTGAGAGGACTCATTCATCAATGTGGGATCTCTAAATTTCCACTTGGAGAATCAGTAAGTCTTATGATTTACTTTCAAGTGGCTCTTTTAATTTTTTGAAGTGCCAAATGACAACTGTCTCTTTTAGTCATGGCTCTTGATTTAAAACAAAAAATTTTGATTACCTGGGCTTGCCTTCATACATTTGGCTTCAGTGGGTTCCCAGCATGGCCTAGACATTTGGTTGTTGGTGTATTTGTTTTAAATCTCATTTCATAATTCTAATGCACAGCCAGGGATAAGAACTACCAGTTAAACTCTGATTCTTTGCCTCCATGACGTATTTAGTATCTATGATTTATCTGATGCCAAGTCTTTGGTCAAGAATGCAACATCCAGTTATAAGACAGATCCCATGAGTTAGATCAGATTTAGGATTTTCCATGTGGTTTCCAGAAATGTACTGCAGCAACAGTCAAGTATTGTTGAATTCTGGTTTTTTTTTTTTTTTTTTTGCTTTGGCAATTCGGGGTCTTTTATGGTTCCATACAAATTCTAGAATTGTTTATTCCAGCTCTGTGAAAAATTGTCATGAGCATTTTGACAGGGGTCACACTGGATCTGCAGATTGCTTTAGGTAGCATGGCCATTTTGATAATGTGTATTCCTCCAATCCAAGAGCACAAGATATCTTTCCATTTCCTTTTGTATCATCTTCAATTCCTTTCACCAATATTTTACAGTTTTCAGAGTATAGGAACCCTCCTTGGGTAAGTTTATTTCTGAGTATTCTGTTGTTTTTGATGCAATGAAAATGCTTATGCCAGTTATAAAATTCTGGTTGTTGAAGTGCAAAAAAAAAAAAAAAAAGAAAGAAAAAGTGAATGAAGGGCCACAAATAGCAAAACATCCCTCTTTTTTTGGGTGAGTTGTATTTCATTACACACATATGCTGCATCTTCTTTATCCATTCATCTACTGGTGTGCACCTGGGATGCTTCCATATCTTGGCAATCATAAATAATGTCGCTGTCAATAGGGGGAGTGTATGTATCTTTTTGAAATAATGTTTTTATTTTTCTGGGATTTATGCCCAGGAACGGAATTGCTAGGCCATGTTGTGGTTCTGTTTTTAGGTTTTGGAGAAACCTCCATATTGTTTTCCATCGTGGCTACACCAATTTACATTCCTACCAACAGTATACAAGCGTTCCCTTTTCTTCACATCCTTGCCAACATTTGTTATTTGTGTTCTTTTTGATGATGGCCATTCTGACGAGTGTGAGATGGTATCTCATTGTGATCTTGATTTGCATTTCCGTGATACTAGTGATGCTGAGCAACTTTTCATGTTCCTGTTGGCCACCTCCATTTCCTCTTTTGGAAAAATGTCTGTTCAGTTCTTCTGCCCATATTTTAAAGGGTCGTTTGTTTGCTTGTTTGCTTTTTAATTGAAGTAGTTAATTTAAAATGTTGTATTAGTTTCTGGTGTAGAGCATGGATGGACTTGGAGGGCAATATGCTACATTACTTATATTCCTGTAGGTATGTAAGTTGACGACTCCTGCCGTAAATCCTCTCCTCTCTATTTCCTTTCCATTGCACTTGTTAGTCTGGATATTTTATATTTATCTAATACTCCAGAACTTTCCAAAGAAGCACCTAGGAGAGGCCTGTTTTCTTAAATGTATAGCTCAGTTTAGGGAGAATGACTTCTTTGCAATATTGAGTTTTCCAATCTATGAACGTTATTCTTGCATTTATTTAGGTCTTATATCAGTCAGAGTCCAGTGGAGAGATGGAAACCAGACCAGTACTTGAAACAGAAAAAACTTACTATAAAAATTTGTTAACAACTAGTAGGAAGGTGGATAACTACTCAAAAGGGTAGAAGTTGCCTCTAAGGGAAGAAGCCACTGCAGAGAGCAGCTACGACCTCTGGGGCAGAGGGATAGTGAATAAATGACGATACCTGGAAACTTCAAAAGGCCGCCTTAAAAGGAGCTGAGATTCAGACCTGTTTGTTTATTTGTTGTTTGAAGTATAGTCAGTTTACAATGTTGTGTCAGTTTCTGGTGTACTGCACGATGCTGCAGCCATACATATACTTACATATATTTGTTTCCGTGTTCTTTTTCATTATAGGTCACTGCAAGATATTGAATATAGTTCCCTGGGCTATACAGTAGAAACCTGTTGTTTATCTATTTTATATGTAGTAGTTAGTATCTGTAAATCTCGAACTCCCAGTTTATCCCTTCCCACCCCTTTTCCCCCTTGGTAACCATAAGTTTATTTTCTATGTCTGTGAGTCTGTTTCTGTTTTGTAAATAAGTTCATTTGTGTCTTTTTCCCCCTAGATCTCTTTGGAGGTGTGGCTGCCATAGAAACATTCAGTCCACCAGTGATGGAGAAACAGGAGGATGTGAGCCACAGGTGAGTTGCAGGAATGACCCACCACTGAGTGGAGAAGGAGGCTGTCAGAGGCGTGGGTAGAGCAGCTGGTCCCAGGACTTCCATGATGGTGGGAGAAGTGGTGGTGATGGGTATCACTCACTCATTCCCAACCTCAGGGTGAAAATTTTCCATATTTCACCAGATTTGTTTTTTCGATGTTTTTAGAGGCTGTGGGCATCACCCATGGAAAAATCAGGATAGAGTTCGCCCATAAAAATGCAACCTTTTATTATCAGTGGGGTATGATTTATGGTAAGAAGGGCAGCCTTCAAAAGGAAAATGAGGTTACCAAAGAAGCCTTTGATACCTATGTTGAAAAAGGGAGGAGTTTTGCCGCTAAACCAACAGCTCTTGCTCAGAGGGCACCGGGGTCACAGATCCCACCAGCCCCTCTGCAGAACCACCCAGAATCAGTACTTCACTGCCCACCACCACCATTCCAAAGTGTGGGGATCTGATTTTCTGTACATTAAGCATGATCCAGAGGCAGGAGTTTTTCTGATGAGACTTTTCAGATGGGGCCAGGAGCAGAGGCTGTTCTGTGTAAAGGCAGAGCCGTGGATAGACAGATGTGGCAGCAGAGAGGGAAACAAGGGTGGGCAAGGGAACAAGGAGATTTGAGAGACTGTCCATTTGGCAAGAAAGATGAAAAGAAAGAGAGAGTAATGCCTCAGAGGCTATAAAATATTAGTGATTCTTGATCAATATTGAAAGAGCCCCATTACACAGAATCTGGTTTGGAAGAAGAACTTGGAACGCGACTGCTTCAGGACAGGATATTGTGGATGAAATAATCTTAGGGCACCTTTTCAAATTTAGGCAAGTGCCCCTTTATTGGATTAAGAAAAGAGATGTTAGCCAGGCCGAGCAAGCAGAAGTGAGCCTGCTGGGAGCTGGAACAGGCCACCCCAGGCTGTGCTGGCTGCCTGCCTCCCCCTTGACCTCTGTTTGTCATCTGCCCAAGCCTTACCCCAGCTCCACACCCAGGCCCTGGCCCCCAAGCTACTGCCCTCTGTGTTCTCGTCCAAGTGCTCCTTCTCCAACAGCCGGCAAAGGAGGAGAAAAGTCTGAAGATGTTGGAGCCAAGACAGCCACGGAGTGGGGCTGGGCACGTCCCCGAGCAGCTGGAGAAACCCCATATGGGTACGATGCCAGGTCCAGGACACTGTCACTGGACACAGAACAGGCTTCCCAGGAAACCCTGAGCCTGGGAACCCTGCAAAAAATTTTAATTTAATTTTACCTTGGTCCCATTTTGAAAAAAAGAAGAGGCTTCCTTGAACTCACTCAAATTTAAAACAGTAACGTGTGCGTTTGTCTATGTGTGTATGTGTGTATGTATACCTGTGTGTGTGTGTTCGGATGCAGCTCCCTTAGATGAGTGAAAAGAGGTTGAGTGAGATTGTTTAGGATGAACCTATATGAGTACACACAGCATCATGGAAAATTCTATTTTAAAAAAGCTGGTCCTTTAAATTACATGTTTTGGATAACCCTCATCTTTTTCTTTGGAAGCAAAACATCTCTGTCCTTGAGTAGATGTTTTCTAGTGGTCCTAAGGCTCAGGAAACAGCATGGTGTGGTGGAAAAAGTAAGGGCTGGGGTCTCGCTGTGACATTAAGCAGGTGGTCTGTGATGCTGGGTACAGCAGTGCAGCCTGGCAGACTCAACTCAAAAGAGGGCAGACCAGGTTATTTGGGGTGTAGAATTCTCATTCCATAAGCTCAGTGTCCTTATGAAACCCATACTCCCCTGTGAGCAAGATTCCTGTCCAATGCAGAACTTTCCTCGCAACTCAGAAATCACATGTTGCCTGATCACGACCCCTAACTGCACTCAATTCTGTTGTAGACATTTTAGATTCTGGGAAATGGACTCAAAGGAAGGCATACGGACTTGCTCAAGATCACTCAAGTTCCCAGCCTTTTTCTGTTTCCTTTTAAATCTTGTCCTTGCCAACCCTTCTGCTTGCTGCCAGCTCTGGCTATGCATGTAAATGGAAGGTGCACTTGACCCAGGCAGCCTGGGCTGCTAGCTGCATGCAGAACTCCTGACTCCTTTTCTTGGCATGTGGGAATCTGAGGTAGGGGAATAGGACTAACCCCATTCCTGCTGCTTGATGGTGCCTCCCTTTGGAGAACAGGGGTGGCTGTTGACCGAAAAGGTTGCTGAGAAGGGCAGGGCGTAGCATCCAGCCTATAGATAGACCCCTGACATTCCCCTCAGGCTCCCCACCCCTCTCTCCACTGAATAGCTGGAAAGACTCAGCCTCCTGAATCCTCAAGGAGAGCAAGGTGATTTTACTCACACATATTTTTATGACATGACTGTCCAAACAGGAAGCCAAAGAATACTAGCTTTCCATGGTTTTTTTTTCTTCTTTTCTTTTTAAAACAGCATGTGGCTAGGAACAGATGAGACCAACATTACTGCTATAATCCTAAATGTCTGCAGCCTAAGAAATTCACCATGCGTTGATAAAGAATGGCTTTCGCTCTTCAGAAATTAAGCTTTCTGCGCTGCACATGGACCATGAGCCTGTGTTTAGAAGTCAGTGCAGGACCTTAACTGACACTTCCATACCTACCATGAGCCGCTGATGAGAACCAGGTGTCCTCCTTCAAGCAGAATTCAATTACCTAGATGGCAACTGTTTCTTAATTCAAAACTTTAACATAGCCTTTTTTTTTCCATTATGAAAAAAAATGAAAGGGGGAAGAGAGTACATTGAATGTGAGCACTTCTGGTTGATGAGAGTAAAAGCACGAGAGGGAAGTGGATCCCTGGTCCCCGCCGACTCCCTGCAGCTCCAGCCTGCAGCCCAGTGCCTGCAGGATTCAGCTGCTAATTCCAGGAACAAGAGTGATGGTCCTGAAACCCAGTCTCCTCTTGGGTCTGTTCTCAGGAAGGTGTAAGAACTCGCCCTTGCCAATTACCGGTTGCATTAGCAGATGGTATCTTTCTTTCTTTTATTAAGTAAAAAGGAAAAAAATAAGAAAGCCTTTAAATGTGTTAAATTGCATTTGGAGACAATGCTTTCTCCCCCGCCCCCCCAGAGGTTGTGCGGCATCAGCCCCTGGAGTCCAGCACATGGATATTCAGGCTTCTTATCCTGAAGGCGCAAATTTTTGGCAAGGCCAGTGCTGTGTTTATTTCCCTGTCCTCACCTGCGGTTGGTGATAACCAGGCCAGTTCAGACAGGTGCAGTGTTGCCCAACCTCTGCTTTTCCGTCTCCTGCACTCCTTACTCTGGTTTCTGCTACAAGCTGGCTGTATATCTGCAGTCAGGCCTGCTGTTGGATACAGGAGGATCCTGTATGGGGGAGAGGAAAGCCAGCCTAAAGCAGACTCTGCTCTCACTCCCTCCTCCTCTAGACAAATTTTCACAGATGCCTTCATCCTTCCTTGAACCTTACTTCTCCCAGGAAGAGTAGGAATTTAAAATCATGACACTGTTTGAACAGTTACTATGTGACAGGCAACATTTCATTGAGAATATCATGTCAATTAATCTTCATATCAGCCTGGTGATATGGTTACTGATAAAACAGACTTAAAAACCTTCATGTGAGTCAGAAAGATGCTCTTGCTTGAAGGAGGTGTTTGATTGAGATCCTGTTATTTGATCAACTGTTCTGAGTCTGCCATCTTTACCATTACTGCCTCCTCTCCCCCACACCCCCTCTAGGACTGCCACCTCACCATTTCCACCATCACCTCTACTGCCATGCCCACTACCAGATGCTAAATGTCAAATTGACAGGGAGTTGTCAAAAAAATAAAGAGCTGAACTTTGTTGGCATGGAGACATCTTTTACTTGAACAATATGGACCACTGAAGCCAAACATTCATTCATTTGGCCTCTTACTCCATTCTCTTTATCCTCTAGAGTCCCAGTCTTTATACAAGCGATTGGGAGCCAGGTGGCCTGATTTTCCTTTAGTCAGTGAAGCTGCTTCAAGAACCCATCTCTGAGAGAAGGGGAAGCCAACAAAGCCCTTGGTCTATTTAGAATTCAGTTCAGCAAAAAATTTAGGAAAACTGGGTAAAATGCTGTACCTTCCCAGCAATTGAATCATCTTCCGGGATCAGGGACTTGTAGACTAACAGATTGTTTAATTTATGTCCAAATCCCAGTTTTTCATCATATCTGGCAATTTGAAAACCTCTGTTTGGGGAAAGTAGTGGATAATTGAGATGATAATGGGGATCAAGACATGTATGTATATGCACAAAAAAGGAAGAAAATAAACTTAGCATGCCATCTGAAAGATAGATGGGGAAATGCAGGTGTCTTGAGATTCTGAATTCAATAATACGATTGGAAGAGCTTTGGTAAATGCGCTGACTGTGAAATCTTATCCCTGGATTCTGGTACTCCCAGAGAAATCTTTCCAAAGCACAAATCTGATCATGCCACCCCCCTGCTTCAAACCCTGCAGTGTGCCCTGTGACCTACAGGATAAAGTCCAGGCTCTCAGAGGGCATCGAAGTCCTCCACAATTTGGACCCTGCTCACCTCTGCAGGCTTCTCTCCTGCTGTGTCCTCTCTCACAATCTGTGCTCTAGCGATTTTAAACTACTAGCCAGTCCTCCAACAGACTGAGTTTGTTTAGGTACCGAAGGTTTCACTCATGCCGCCACTTTTGCTTGCAACTACCCCCATGACAGAAACACGCACACACACACGGCTCCATTTAATGAATTCCCAACCATCTTTCAAAAGCCAGCCAAGGAATCCTTTCCAGCTCTGCGGGCAGAACTGACCACTCCCCGCTTCATGCCCCCACAATACACTGCATTGATAAGGCACCTCTCCCTGGGTTACTAGTACCTCTTTGCATGTCTTTCTTTATGCCAGATGGTAGACTATTTGAGGGTAGGGAATGTGTCTTAGTCGTGGTTATATGGCAGCACCAAGCACGGTGCTAGGCTCAGAGTAGCTGCCCAATAATGGCTATTCTGCTTTTTGTTTTTGTTTTTGTCTTGCCTGAACTAGCTCTTACTTCTGTTAAACAGTGTAGAGTGCCAGAGGTAGCGGCTGGAGAGGGGAAGAAAGAGAGGGAAACTTTCTTAGGGGCCTATCAGTAAGAGTCCACATGTGGAGGTTACCCATCAACCAATGGCAGCCTCTGGAGTAAAACCTAAGCTGTTAAAAATGAATTGAGCTGGTTACTATTTTGGTCCCTGACCTACTTTTTGGTTACTTTCTACTGCTGTTACAAAAGCTCTCAGACTTTTATCAATGAACAAAGCCACTTTTTGATGGTTTTGTAGTCTCACCTGTTTAGGTAACTTTTCATTCTACGAAAGGGAAAATCTTGCACAGTCCCTGAAACCCAGTTTTAGTGCAGACTCATCTATGGAAGAGTCCCGTTCTCAGCAGGACCAGCTTCCACAAGACTTTCTCAATTGTTTTTCTATAGAAGACTTAAAGGCCAAGAATAGCAAATCCATCCACCCGAAAGGCAACACTCATCTCCTTAGTGCTCATGGCTGTGTTCCCCTGAGAACAAGAAGGGTTCCATGACACTTATCTCCTGCCGTCTCTTCACCTCCAGCTCACCCACGTCGGGTTGTAAGCCTGCCTGAAGCTATGTCTCTATTGTCTGGGTGCAGATGGAACTCCGGTAATAGAGTATTTTTCGGTCCAGATTTCCTCTTTGTTGCCATGTAACTGTTGTGGACCTGGGGTAAAACACTTGGGAAACAACCAAAGAATCCTTTCTAACTATTTCATTGGCAAAGACTGCTATTAATAAGTGCAAATTATTTAAGGGGCAGTTGCATTGAAGGAGTGCTGAGGAAAATGATGGAGGACTTGACTCTGTGTGTTTGATAACAGCTCCCAGGACAGGTACCAAGTAAATGTTGACTTTTCTAAATTTCCAGGGGCAAAACTGAAGGGCTTCAAAAATCATTAACAGAAGAAAATATGTTTACAAGCATACTAAAGAGCTTTAAAAGGGAGCTAGGAGAATGGAAAAGGGAGTCAGAGAGGAAAAGTTCAAGAGTCAAAATTATTTAGCCAACAGATTTTTGATGGTCTAGGTCTGCCTAGAACTGTGCTTTCATTTATTTACTTTATTTTTATTTTTAATTGAAGTATAGTTGGTTTACAACGTTTGTTCATTTCTGGTGTACAGCATAGTGATTCAGTTATACATAAATATATATTCCTTTTCATGTTTTTTTTTCATTATAGGCTATTACAAGGTATTGCATACAGTTCCCTGTGCTATACAGTGGGAACTTGTTGTTTACCTACTTTATATGGTAGTTAATATCTGCAAATCTGAACTCCAAATTTATCCCTCCCCACCCCCTTTCCCCTCTAGTAACCACAAGTTTGTTTTCTATGTGAGTCTGTATCTATTTTGTAAATAAGTTCATTTGTGTCATTTTTTTCTAGATTCCACATATGATTAATACCATATGGTATTTTTCTTTCTCCTTCTAGCTTATTTCACTTTGACAATCTCCAGGTCCATCCATGTTGCTGCAAATGGCATTATTTTATTCTTTTTTATGGCTGAGTAGTATTCCTGTGTGTGTGTGTGTGTGTACGTACGTACGTGTGTACACCACATCTAGAACTGTGCTTTTAAAGCAGGTCTGCTGCTAGATGGGAAAAAATAGATTTGCAATGGTGAGATAGATATTGGCAAGGAGGAACTTTGGGATGGTGAGAAGAGTTGGCTTTAACCCAGTGACAGTGGCAGCTAGGTGGCTTTTTGGGGTACCAAGCCAATAGTAAAAGGCAAAGGTGCATGCTTAATATTATTTCACACTACTTCTAGTGCAAGCTGGGCCACAGAGACTTCTGTCCTTCCAGATCCCTCACTCATCAGTCTCCCAAATACTTGTTTCCTATGGAAAATGCTAACTTCGTGTAGTCTTCCAAATCTTATTGTAAAGCCCTTAATTGCAAAAGCATGTTTATTCATTTCAGCAAGTACTTACTCAAAGTGCTACACTCTTGGCTCAAAATATTGACTTGCATCATATTTTTCATACAACTGCTGACTGTTCACAATGACTGGGCCAAGCCTCCGTGGTTGTGTCAAATCCTCCTCGAAGCCATCCACATTTGGCAGCCTTGAAGGCTGCAAACACTGAGTCTCTGGGCCCATCAGTTTAATTGTTTCCCAAGCTGGGAGCTTAATAACAGCTGATAGGATAAGAGGCAGATAGGACAAGAGGTAGAATTCGCCCCATCTTTTCTTCTGGAAGTTCCTTTTATCCTCTGCACTGCTCTGGGAGGTCAACAAGGTGCACAACAGTTCTGCCACCGTCCTGGGACTATCCAGTGCCAATCACTCCCTGGGCATCAGTTTCTTCATGTAAAATGAGGGGAGTGTTTGATCTCTAAGGTTCCATTCAGAAACCTCTCCCAAGAGGAAAGAAGGCGGTCCCCTCAAAAGGACTTCTCCCCCATTGGTCACCTGTGTTTCAAGGCAGCCCTCTCACATCTGAGACCTCTGCCCATCAGTTCTGACCATGGTGTCCCTTTGTCTTAATTGTACAGGCATGTCCAGGGCTCCATATTACAACCCGGCAGGGATTCTTTCCATCATTCTTTCCCATAAACATTTGCAACTCCTGCTTCTTTACCATACTTTTCCCCTTCTCCTCTTATTTTTGTTTTAGACTTTTTTTTCCCTTAGGGGAGGTGGGTAATTAGGTTTATATATCTATTTCTGTATTTAATGGAGGTACTGGGGATTGAACCCAGGACCTCACGCATGCTAGGCAAGCACTCTACCACTGAGCTATACCCTCCCCACCCTTCTCCTATTAAATACTGTCCTCAACTCCCGGCAATAAACTTTACCCCTAAAAACACCCCTGAAAAGTGCCCAGAAATGCCTAGACCTTACCACTTGGGTGTAGCATTTATAGAAACATCAACTCTAGAGGAACAACAGCAAGGCCCTTTCTGATACCCCGAAATGTTTTTGTTGAATTATATTTCTTTCAATAGGACTGAAATGAAAAACACGGCATTATCAGATGACTTGCAGATGGAGCGGGATTCGCCTCCAGAGGCGGGACCAGGTGGGTCAGAACAGGCGGGGGGAGGGTTTGTTGATCTGAATCGGGCATTTCTGTAGAAGAAACGGTCCTCTGCCTTACGGCCATGCACACAGTAGACTGATGAAGAGTAGGAATAGGGGGAAAAGGCCCTCGCTGAGGTCTTCTTGGTTATGAAAGAGGAGAGGCATATGGAAACCCACTGTATTTGTACAGAAAGCAATGTTGAAAGCAACTGCTAGTCTCCCACCAAAACTTCCTTGGTGCTATGCTCAGAAACCAAACTTTACAAGTCAGAAAACGGCTTTAATTTTGCAGTTTTCAGGCCAGGCTTCTCCACTCACTGGCTCAGTGGCCTTGTGAGAATAAAGTCCTTGAGCCTCCAGTTTCCCTCTCTGTAAAATGCAGCTAAAGCCCTTTACCTCCCAGACTTGGGAGAATCCCACGGGATTTTATATGTGGAAGTGCTATGCAGAGGTGAAGATAAAAATAATGGATTTTAGTTACCATTACTTGTTTC